CACTCCACAGGCTGTCTGTCTGGAAGAAAGGTGAGCATCTCTCCTTCCTAGCCTTTGCCCTGCAAGCCATCTGCCTGAGCCATATAAACTGGGTTCTTTTCCCTGCCGTGGGGTGCCTACTTGATGCAGCTCTCACAACTGAACTACTTGCTGCGCGGGTTGTTTGTTGGGTGGGAAACATCATGACATGTCAGTTATGCTTATACAATCAATGGTAATTTTAAATATACTCAGACTTGTTTAATGACAGCCAGTTTTAAGAGACTTGATTCAGAGATGAATTTGGCCTTCAGTTTTACAAGGACAGTCACTATAATAGGATCTGTTCATTGGAGTTTCCTTACCTAAAAGGCACCTCAAATATAAGTGTCCAAGAATTAAAATACTACTTCTGGTAAATTGCTATAAGCAGGAATGATATTCAAAGGGTTTGACTACACAACTAAATATACTGTATATAATTCATGACATTTGCTAATTTAAACCAGTATTTTAAAAAAAGAAAAAAGCCTCAGTCAAGATCTGAGATTTCAGGTAAATTTTTCTTGTTTTAGTTTGTGCTTCTGAAAAACTGAAAGATTTAGACATTATATACCTCCACAAGAAAAACAAAAGATTAGGCAGTTATCCACCTATTATTGTGTGTCTGTGCATATATTAACTGCAAGTCTTCCAGCCCTCTCAGACAAGACTTACTGGTATTTATAATTTCCACAAGGTGGTGCTCTTGCATCAAGAATTATATTGCACCTTTTTTTTTTTACCAAAAAAAAATAAAAAAATTAAAAAATGTAATGCTAGGCACTGTCATTCTTACCTCAGGATGAAAGAAAATTTCAGGTCCAAGAAACCTTTCATAACCAATATCTATAATTAATTTATTTTTGTTGATTGCATTGATGCCTGTGTACTGTTTGATCCATTTTCATGGATCTACATCATATTTGGCAAATTCTTTTACTATGTCAGGGCAAATGTAACAATATTTTTCCTGTAAAGAAATACCATGCATTAAAAGTTGCCTAAACTGATCATACATAATTATTAAATACACCAAGGAACAGTTCAGAAAAACAGTGAAAATTACTTAATTGGAGAATCAAAAGCGAGGTCTAAATCTATTAACCTAGGGTTCACATTTCGTAACTACTGTTCTTACAATTCTAACCTTATTCTTAAGGAACAGACTGTTCAGGAAAAGTCCTACATAATGAATTGGTAAAGCCCCCAATCCTGCATTGAGAGATGCGCAAGACCCCATTGATTTCAATGGGGCTTCACACTGGCAAACTCCTTAGCGTGCATGCAATGTCACTGAAATCACTGGTTTCAAAGCAGAGGGTCCACCTGTACGCATTTCATTACATGATCAGAAATAGGTGATCATCCCAGTAATATTATGCAATATATGCAAGACTCAGAGTTTTTATGGAGAATTTTCTTAACTAGCACAGTTCAAATTTGAAGCAAACTCTAAAGCCAATTTCACCTTTAAAACACGTACATATTAATTCTAAACGAAAGTCTTGCTTGATAATTATTCATATTTCTCCTTGTTTCCCCTTTACATCTTTTCCCCCTCATTCTATGAAGAGCTTAAATAGAAGGAAAAGTATAGTTTAACAATTCCTATATTTGTATATGTAAAAAGGGCCACTGGCAATGTGCTAAAACAAAAAACAAAAATCTACCTCTCTTAAAAGTAAGGTAAATTTCACATCAAATGTTTACCTTTATGGCTTTTGCTGTCTCCAGAGACTGTTCGGGGGAATTTCCACCTCCCTCTCCCTTAGGATCTGCTGAATGAAATATGTGATATCTCTACCTGCAATAGGGATATGTTTGATGCAACTTCCAATTATATAACCTTCTGCTTATGGGAAAAAAATGCTTAGAAAAAGCTGGCGTACGAAGTACCAAAAGTTAACAGCAGAATATAATGTTCATTTTTACCCAGCAGCTTCTTGCATTTTTTTAAAAAACTAAAAGTGAGACTTTGGCACCTTTCAAAGTGACCTCAAATTTGTAAACCCTAATGAAACTAGATGCTACTTTCTAAGGCCCTTGATTAATATTTGGAGAACTGATGCTGCTTAATATTATCTAATACAAACATCAGCAGTGAATGTAAAAAAAATAAGGATAATCTTGAACGCATGCTGAAGATAGAGACGTTCCAACCATGAGGTCTTTTTCAGGAATGATCTAAAAAGGCAAAAAGTACTCATGACAAGAGAAAACAGGTATCCTGCACGAGAGACTGAAAAATGGATAGAGAAGAACAAAGGTTACAAAAATACTGAACAAACAACAAAAAAGCTAATAAAGGGAAGGGAAAATGACCAATAAACACAATAAGGAAAAGAGATGTTTTAAAATGCATCCTGAAAAAGGCAACAAATAAAGACAAGAGAAAAAGGAAAAGGGTAATATTGGCCATAGCCAGTAACAGTAAACACAGCAATGACTACTTCGTATGGCAAGCTTATGCTGTTTCTAAGAGTTCCCATTTTAAGTTCCATATAGCAAATATTGCAGGGTACAGATAACTACCAACAGGCAATAAGCTTAAAAAAGTTAATGGAGCCCACAGCATTATAATATATTTCAGTACTTAGATGTCATTCAGGCCGACACACTGGATGCCATAATTGGAACAGAAATTAGAGTGCATAAATAATGATTACAAGTTTGTATCCTGAGAGGGTTCGACAATTAGAAATTGACTAGATGCTTGCGCTGCGTTTATCTAAGCTTGCCTTTGTTTCACACAGGTAACCTGTACTCTAAATTTTTGACAGTAGCATGAGGAAATACCCCATATGTGAAAGGTAGAATACTATACAAATGTCCAACCAAAAACTTTTTGGAAATGGAACTCAACACACAGAAAAGTGCTACACATTCAGGCAAAGATGAAATCTCTGCGTCAAGTGAGAACATCTACCACACTGACCAACTTTCCAAATTTGAGCAGCATTAACAAATATTGGTCATGGTAAAACTTTGTATACAGCAGGATGCATGGACAGGATTTATACAAGAATAGGAATCTCCAAAAGACATATTGACTCCTTTTTCATGGCCTTCATTTCAGAAGACAGGATATTGGGCTAGACGTACCTTTGGTCTGACTCAGTATGGCAGTTCTTACTGACCTCAGAGAGAAAGAGCTATAATGGTATTTAATGAACTTGGATTTCAATTTTTCCATACCACAACAACTGTAACCACATTGTGAAGACTCATTTGAAAAATGCTGACTTTTTTATGTAAATATCACCACTATAAAGTTTGTGTGTGTGGTTTTTGGAGGGGGGTGAGGGGGTGAGAGAACCTGGATTTGTGCAGGAAATGGCCCACCTTGATTATCATACACATTTTAAAGAGAGTGGTCACTTTGGATGGGCTATTACCAGCAGGAGAGTGAGTTTGTGTGTGGGGGGGGGCGGAGGGTGAGAAAACCTGAATTTGTGCTGGAAATGGCCCAACTTGATGATCACTTTAGATAAGCTATTACCAGCAGGACAGTGGGGTGGGAGGGGGTATTGTTTCATGGTCTCTGTGTGTATATAATGTCTACTGCAGTTTCCACGGTATGCATCCGATGACGTGAGCTGTAGCTCATGAAAGCTCATGCTCAAATAAATTGGTTAGTCTCTAAGGTGCCACAAGTACTCCTTTTCTTTTTGCAAAGACAGACTAACACGGCTGTTACTCTGAAACTTATTAAATATCTAATGCAGTTCAGACTTTTATCAAACTTGGCTCCTGATCCAGCAGTAACCCAATTTTTCAGTTTATGAGGGCACTCAAGAATCCCAAATAAGTCCCAGGTAAATAGATCTGATCCTTTTACTCTTTGGTGGGTAGACACAGGCCCAACCTTCCACAACATGGTTGTTAACATTTCTTTGAAAAATTACTGATTATTAGGAAAAAAAAGTTTGGTTTGACATGTGAACAGAAATGACATACTGTGGCCATAATAAGTAGTATGACTTTGACATATAAGTACATGTAAGAAGGAAACGCATCCAGAGTAAGACACTGATTCTGCAAACACTTACGCAACTGCCTAACTTTCCTACCGAAAGTAGTCCCATTGATCTCAATAGGACTACTCACCATAATAAAGTTAAACACGGTGTACATGTGTTTGCAAGACTGGTGTATAAGGGATAATCTGCATTATGTACAGGGAGCAAACTTAACGTCTAAGGATTCTTCACATCACCACTACTCCTACCTGGGAGCGGATGAATTACCAAGAAAAATAAATGAAAGAATGTGCATTAATTTTAAAATAAACTAAACTAAAATCAGATTGTTTTGCAGGATTCCACGTAAACAAGTTGCATACAACTACTTAGTGTCATAAATTACAACCATCTTTCCAAACAATTCATATAAACAGCCTGATGTTCAGTGGTGAACAAGTTTCAAGGCTGATCCAATTTGGGACCTTAACTACTTAACAGTGGTCTTTATTTAAAAAAAAAAAAAATCCAGCTATGAATTGTGTATTCTTTATATTTATCTCCTCCTACGCAAAACCACTGATTTTAAAAAATCATTTTGCATTAAGTAACTAATTTCATCTTCAACAGAAACCTTTCACAGAAGGGAATACATAATTGTGCACATGATTGCTAACATACAGCATATTGCTACGTGACATTTCCCCCTATTTCACTGTAATGCTTTATTTTGTTTGACTGAAGTCAGCCAATTATTTTAAGCAGCATCTGTAATTCAATCAAACCATCCAAAGCTTTTAAAAAAATAAAGCCCAAACGAAGAAGCCTGTTTCAGAAGTGTACTAGAAACAGGGTCTAATGTGATTTTATATATAATTTCTAGAGCAATAAAAAAAATGAAAAATTACAAAAGGCTTCTAGGCTTTGTAACAAAACCTACTTGTGCTGGGAATGTTATCCACCACAATTATACCATCTCCCATTTGTGGAAGCATTTTCTTAGCCAGTTCCATTACTCACCATTAAAAAGTAATGATCCTCAGGTTCAGTGCGAAGATATTTAAAAATTACTTGCTCCATGAATCTCTCCATGAGATCCCAGTCTTCAACAATACCATGTCATATGGGCCACTGAAGCAAAAGAACATTTTAAACGTGTCAGTGTATGAGCCAGTAGGTAACAATACAATGAACACGAGAAGCAAAATCCTAGTATCCTCTATGAGAGCCATAAATACTAGCCTATATAAACATTGTGTCACCGTTCTACTTTTAAAAGAAAGCCAATAATTTTTAAGTCATCATTCTCTCCTGGGTCTCTCATTATGATTCTGTCTGTGGATAGGGGGCTGGACTGGGAGTCAGAAGACTAAGACTAAGGTTCTATTCTTAGTTCTGCCGCTGCTTTACTGTGTGACCTGGGGCAAGGCACTTCACCTTCCTGTGCACCAGTTACCCCATCTGTAAACTAGGGATAATGATACTTCTTATCCATTGTAAGCATTTTGCAATCTATGAATGATAGGAGCTAAGATGACAAACCAAGACTTCAGTATTATATTATTTTAGACCATAGGTTCCTATAAGCAGGGGCTATCTTCACATTTTCTTTAGTGCCCAGCACACAGTTGGTGCTTAAGCTAATATATAAGAAAGTAATATCGGATATATATTTTATGAATATTTAACATATACCTTACTTTATTAATCTCCCACAGAAAAGGGTCCTTTACAGGACAAAGAAAAACGGACTCACACAGAAATGGACTTATAGGATGACCCTGTGCAAAGGGGCCAGGGGACATGTTCTGACATTTCTCAAAGCAAACTGATCAGCACCAAAATAGTAATTTTATCATTTAATATAGGTCCCATGCAATTTTCAGCAAGAGGAAATAAAAAGATTTGGTATCTATGTCTATATCAGCTATTGACATTACTGGGGAAAAGAAAATGCATTAATAGACCCTCACAAGATGGATCTGTCATCAACTGTTGCTAAAGCACTGGTAGAAAACTATTTAAAAGAAAGAACGAAAGAAAGAATGAACGAAAGAACGAAGCCAACCAACCAAATTTGCACATGCTAAACTGAAGCCAACTATATTATATTCAATCCTTTCATTCTGCAACTACAACGACTAGTATACTTAATGACAGCAAACTTCAGATAAGTGTTTGTTTCAAATCTTCTTGACAGGCATTTAAATAATCTACAAAAATGAAAATATAGAGTCAATTCAAAAAGATTTCTGAAAGATGCTTAAAGCTTCATTATATATTCTTACTTTTGAAGTATAGGTAGGTTTATCTATGGCTTCATCTCCTATGAAAAAGTCTAGATCATCAACTCCCTTCATTACTCTCCTCTGGGCTTGGTCACCTACTTTTGCTGACTCTCTGATTGCAATAGCTAAATAAATAAATAAATAGTCCATCACAAAAGAACACATTAAAAATAAAAAACTCTTTTTCTAAACATAGAACAATGTGAGGTGTTAAGCGGTTCCCCTTTCCTGCTTTAAATAAAGCAAGCAAGGATTCTTTTCTCAAAAATAAAGACTGGAATGTAGGAAGTGATAAGCTGACAAACTAATATGTTAGGGTACATTTTCAGTGCAGTACAGGGAATTTGGTCACTTATCTACAATTAACATCAGTGGGAGTTGCAACCAAATCCCCTCCCTCTCTCTCCCACACACACACGCCACTTTAAAAATTTACCCCGTTACCAACTACAGCACTCGAGAGCTGCATACTTTTGGATTTCCAATACAGTAGGCACTCCTGAAGTGAGGAAATTACAGGTTTTTCTGGGTCTCAATATACCAGGCAAGTTGGAGAATTAAGAGGAAGAAGAAGGGGGAGGCAGTGGGAGCATGAAGAAAATATTTGAAAACATTAAATTACCGAGCCATTATTCTGGCTGGTAGAAAAAAATCAATTTGCAGCCCTACAGAGAAGCTTATTGAGACATTCATGCTTGCTATTAGCAGGAGGCAACTATCACTAAAATCACTAGCAGAAGGCTGGTGTAGGCAGAAAGATTAAGCAGCAAGACATCGAGGGCAAACTATAAATAAAAACAGAATAAAATGTAGCCTGTTTATTTACAATCTTGTTTCAGTAAGCCAGAATCACACACTCAACTACTTCTAATGGAGAACAGGCAGTACGTAGAATAATCACTTAAGAGTGCTTCTAACAGTATTAGGACAAAACTTCTTCAGAGTTTGAAAACTTTTCAGAAACATACACTAGACCCCACAAAACATTCCAATTGACAAAAGTCAGATTTACATTAATAGTCAGAGGAAATATTTCTTACCATATGGTGTATACATAAACCTATTTAGCACAACACATACGTATATCTTTATAAATTCTTTTGATTTAGAAAATTGTTTTAACACTTATGTTAACTGAACTACGTAGTTACTGCACTATAGTTCTGATAGAGAGTGCTTCCCCAATAACTTCCTTGGACCTCTGGGCTTATTTAATATTTCCTTACCTTGTAGCATCTATCCAAAAAAAAGTCAGCATTCAAGGCAGGCAAAAAAATACCGTGGACATTAGAAAACTAGATGTTGTTTTAGATTAACTGAACAAAGTCCCATAAACCTTTTCAAATACAGCAGAAGCATAATTAGCACCTCAAATTTAAGGCAATATGTAGTCCAAACAAAGTTTTTAAGCATAAGATACAAGACTACGACACCTTACTGATATAAAGGACAACTAAAATCAATGGAGTTTAGAAAGGTATCAAATTTAGATTTCAACATTTTTGGTGTTAATATGGATCAATAAAAAATTAAGTAACAGATCCAAATAAGAGACCATTTGAATATGCTATGGGCACAGCACGTACACACCACAAAAAGTGACACAGTATATTCCTGATTCTTCTTTGAGTGATTGTCCCTATTGTAGTCTATTGAGAGTTATGCACATGCACTATGCACCCAGAGCTGTTCAATGTAGTATTGCTTGGTGGTCCGCACATGCGCTCTCGTATTGCCTCATGGTTTCACCTGAGCTGATAAAGGGTGGGGCAGTCCACGTCTCCAGTTCCTTCCACATCTCCAGTTCCTTCTCACCGACGCATGGTCCAAGTTGGAGATTCTGCCGCCCTCTCATTCTTTGGGTATGTCTACACTACGGAATAAGGTCGAATTTATAGAAGTCGGTTTTTTAGAAATCGGTTTTATAAATTCGAGTGTGTGTGTCCCCACAGTAAATGCTCTAAGTGCATTAAGTGCATTAACTCGGCGGAGCGCTTCCACAGTACCGAGGCAAGCGTCGACTTCCGGAGCGTTGCACTGTGGGTAGCTATCCCACAGTTCCCGCAGTCTCCGCTGCCCATTGGAATTCTGGGTTGAGATCCCAATGCCTGATGGGGCTAAAACATTGTCGCGGGTGGTTCTGGGTACATATCGTCAGCCTCCCGTTCCCTCCCTCCCCCCGTGAAAGCAAGGGCAGACAATCATTTCGCGCCTTTTTCCTGAGTTACCTGTGCAGACGCCATACCATGGCAAGCATGGAGCCCGCTCAGGTAACCGTCACCCTATGTCTCCTGGGTGCTGGCAGACGCGGTACGGCATTGCTACACAGTAGCAGCAACCCCTTGCCTTGTGGCAGCAGACGGTACAGTACGACTGGTAGCCGTCATCGTCATGTCTGAGGTGCTCCTGGTCGCCTCTGTGAGGTCGATCAGGAGCGCCTGGGAGACATGGGCACAGGGACTAAATTTGGAGTGACTTGACCAGGTCATTCTCTTTAGTCCTGCAGTCAGTCCTATTGAACCGTCTTATGGTGAGCGGGCAGGGATACGGACTGCTAGCAGTCGTGCTGTACCATCTTCTGCCGAGCAGTCATGAGATGTGGATGGCATGCAGTCCGTCTGCTGCCAGCCAAAGATGTAAAAGATAGATGGAGTGGGTCAAAACAAGAAATAGACCAGATTTGTTTTGTACTCATTTGCTTCCCCCCTCCCCTGTCTAGGGGACTCATTCTTCTAGATCACACTGCAGTCAAGATGCAGCGAGGTAAATCTAGCCATGTATCAATCAGAGGCCAGGCTAACCTTCTTGCTCCAATAAGGACAATAACTTAGGTGCACCATTTCTTATTGGAACCCTCTGTGAAGTCCTGCCTGAAATACTCCTTGATGTAAAGCCACCCCCTTTGTTGATTTTAGCTCCCTGAAGCCAACCCTGTAGCGCCCTCCCAGCGTCAGAGCAATGGCAAACAATCGGGCATCTGAGAGTGCTGTCCAGAGCAGTCACAATGGAGCGCTCTGATGGGGCTAAAACATTGTCGGGGTGGTTCTGGGTACGTGTCGTCAGGCCCCGTTCCCTCCCTCCCTCCGTGAAAGCAAGGGCAGACAATCATTTCGCGCCTTTTTCCTGAGTTACCTGTGCAGACGCCATACCACAGCAAGCATGGAGCCGCTCAGGTAACCGTCACCCTATGTCTCCTGGGTGCTGGCAGACGCGGTACGGCTTTGCTGCACAGTAGCAGCAACCCCTTGCCTTCTGGCAGCAGAGGTGCAATACGATTGGTAGTCGTCCTCATCGTGTGAGGTGCTCCTGGCCGCGTCGGCTGGGACGCCTGGGCAGACATGGGCGCAGGGACTAAATTTGGAGTGACTTGACCAGGTCATTCTCTTTAGTCCTGCAGTCAGTCCTATTGAACCGTCTTATGGTGAGCAGGCAGGGTACGGACTGCTAGAGTCGTACTGTACCATCTTCTGCCAGGCAGGCAAGAGATGAGGATTGCTAGCAGTCGTATTGCACCATCTTCTGCCAGGCAGGCAAGAGATGGGGATGGCTAGCAGGCGTACTGTACCATCTTCTGCCAAGCAGCCATGAGATGTGGATGGCATGCAGTCCTTCTGCACCGTCTGCTGCCAGCCAAAGATGTAAAAGATAGATGGAGTGGGTCAAAACAAGAAATAGACCAGATTTGTTTTGTACTCATTTGCCTCCTCCCCTGTCTAGGGGACTCATTCCTAGGTCACACTGCAGTCACTCACAGAGAAGGTGCAGCGAGGTAAATCTAGCCATGTATCAATCAGAGGCCAGGCTAACCTCCTTGTTCCAATAACAACGATAACTTAGGTGCAC